TGATGGATGGCTGACGAATCAGGGAAGGACACGTCATGACCCCCAATCATAGAGCTGAGCGTGAGCCTCTGCGTCAGCGTTTCTAAAGTCCTCCGTTTTGTCCCGTCTTCATTAAAACGCCCTCCGGATATTCAAAACGCAAAACGGAGCTGCAGCGTTTCTAAACTTCTCCATTGTAGGTCATTGTTTTTTCCGTTTTAGTCTGGACGGGAGGTGCAAACGTAGCAAAAGGTCTCCGTTTTTAAATGAAAACGCAGTAGTGTGGACGGGGCCTTAGACAACGTGTTATTTCCAATTTTAAATCATTAGCTTTTATATTCGTGTTTATATCCTGATACGTGATTTTGGTTAATCCATCCATTAATTTTCCAAACCCCTTTTCTTACGTAGGTCTTGGAGTAAAAATAAAATAAAAATGTATATATATATATATATATAGCTGTGACTGAGTGGCGCATGTGGAAATCATTAGTTTAAGTGGTTTCCCAGAACCACTGTATGTTGTGTTACTCACTCACGTACAGCAAGCTATATATATATATATATATAAATGTAATTGTTTAAAAATGTATAAAACAATTTTCCAAGGCCCTGTTAGCACTCAGAGCATAGTGCTAATGATGTGGGGTTGTGCATTTCATCAGGCAATATAATTCTAGTTATGTGGAATAGCTGGGGGCAGGCAATGTTTCTATATAAAGAGAGCATCATCATGAGCCATCACCACTGTGCCCTTGAGCAAGGCACTTAACCCAGGTTTCTAAACACAGCTCAACACATGAGGCATTGATGCATACAGTATGTGGCAAAACTAAAAGAATTGTGATGGCTGAGATAACATGGCATATACCTCACCACTGTATGGATTATTACGAAACAGCCAAGTTTTACTCACTGACATCTAAACAGAGTCTGAGGCTAATACTTAATATACCGCCCTGTGCATGAGAACTAGAAATCATAGGGGGGACTATTAATATTACCGTGCTCAGACCAAAACACTTCTCGCTTTGTTTGTGTGAACTTATACAGTATATAAATCGAGAATAACACGTTTCTTATTCAAGCAAACCACACAAGTACATGTACAGTGATGGTACAGTTCCCAGCAATTACACAGGCACAAACAAGTGTAAGGGCTGTTCACACAGAACACCTTTATTGCTGTTAAAAAAATGTGAGCTGAACTTCGTGAACTTTTAAATTTTGAACTTCATCATACGCAAGACACTGCAAAAGATGCGAGACGTCTAGTGTTTACATTGAAAAATAATGAAAAAGTAGCTAAACATAATAATAACTTATAGTCTCTAGTAAATAATTTGCATTTTTAAATATATAACTGTATAATTTTTATATCATTTAAATTTTTATAAATAAGTAATATTAATATTTCTTAATTTAAATGGTTAATATTTATTTCAAATATTATAATAACTGAGTACATTTATTTAAAATATTACAAAACATATCAAATATATTAACCGAATGTTTTTTTTTTACTCTATTTATTATGAATTAAAGCAAGGTTTTAAGTTTGTCCAAACACTCTAGACACATGGCTTGACCCGACGAAGAGCGAAGTGTGTGACTGTACTCTAATAATGGGGAGCGAAGTCCTATTTTTAGGGTCCTAGAAATGAGCATCTATAATTAGAAAAGGAGAGCAGTGACTGGCGCATGTGGAAATCATTAGTTTAGGTGGACATACACACAGGTTTCCCAGAACCACTGTATGTTGTGTTACTCACTCACGTACAGCAAGCTGACGGAAAGCCAAGTGGAACAGAAACAGGAAGAGACAGGGCAGATTTCTCTCCGACTCCGTTTGAGTGTGTTGTGCAACTGGCACTTAAAAACGTACGTAATACACAAGCTTTCGTTTTCATTTCCGTAAAGTACAGATTTGTTTGTGTGTTTGTCCGAGTGCTTACATGGAGCTCAGCCTTAACGTCAGTCAAGTTCTGCGATAAGACCACAGAGACAGTAGACAATCAATCAATCAAGCTATCACTGGAGCTCAGAACAAGCATCAGTAAATCTGGCTGGTTCTGTGATCGATAGCACTTAGACAACACAGAACTAAACAACGCTGCTCCACAATTGAACCACTAGCAGTAAGGTTACATCAGTCTGTGGTGTCCACACAAATGGTACTCACAAATTGTGTGTCCTAAAGGTTATCATTCACACGTTCATGCAAACTTGCAGTGTCTAAATGTAACTTTTTGCCTGCCAAAAAGTGGGTGAATGAAAATGTACAGGTCTTAAAGGGATAGTTCACTTTGAAATTAATTTTTGGTATGTTTTAGCTTACCTCAGGGGAATCCAAGATGTAGGCGTCTTTGTTTACGCAGTAGTTTCAATTTTGATATTTTTACGTCAAACCGTTGTTGTCTGTCAGTCATATAATGGAGGTCTATGGTCACCACCTCAAAGAGCATGCACAGAGAAGTCCAAATTAAACATGATTTAATGACTCGTGAATGTAAGTACACATTGATGTCCTCAGACACGAAACGAGCGTTCATAAATCATTCCATCCAATCTAATATTAAAGCAAGAATAGATTCGCAAACGATTTATGCACAAATTAGTTCTGCGTGTTTCATAAATCAAGCCTATTGGATAGAAAACATGTTTTTCATAAAATAACAAGCATAAAATGTGGCTTCTTTGTCCAATTGATCATACAAATAATCAACATAAATCAACAAATTAACTGATTATCAAAATAGTAATTCATGGCAGCCGTAGTTTTTTTTTTTTTTTTTGGAAACGCTTTACAATAACTTAATTCATTAACAATAGCTAGTACAGTAAGTATCTTGAACTAACCATGTACAACACGATAAAAACAATTATTTAGGTTAACATTTATTTCTTCCGGCGATTTCCGGCACTTGCACACATCGAAGCGCCCATGCCTTCAAATCACTTGGACGTGGCTGTGGTTACAAAAGCTAAAAACGATATAAATACTGTTCGTTTTCTCACACAAACCGCTCGTTTCGTGTCTGAGGACATCAATCTGTACTTACATTTACGAGTCATTAAATCATGTTTCATTTGGACTTCTCTGTGCGTGCTCTTTGAGGTGGTGACCATAGACCTCCATTATATGACTGACAGACAAACGGTTTGACCTAAAAATATCAAAATTGAAAATACTGCGGAAACAAAGACACCTACATCTTGGATGCCCTTGAGGTAAGCTAAAACATATCAAAAATTAATTTCTATAAAATTATTAACGATAAATCGCTCATTTAGGAACTGTTGTGAGATGCACACAGA